TAGTTAGGGGTCTAACTATGCTGTCATTCACAGGCTTCTCTCATCGTTATAGGTGGGAGAACTTGAACTATTGGTGCTGACTAAATACTTTCTCTCCCCACTGTAGCAAACTTAATATAAGGAGCTAATATAGACAAAATCTTTGTTTGAGGGCAGAAGAAAGAATTTTGCTACAGAGGCAGATTGTTAACGTTAGTGACAGTAAAAGTTTAAAGTTGTCCCCATTGTCTCTGAAAGTGAAGCACTGCTGAATGTACAAGTTACTGTATGCTTTCTCCTGGTTGTTGTTGTTTTACAATATTATTTATGAATAATGTAGCCAATTTTTTTTACTTAAAATTTTGAAGACATCTTTTACCGCTCCTAGAGAACCATTGCTTACTTTCCTAGAGTGCTGAGTGTGAGTGAAGAAAGTGGAGATGGATGAAAGCCGTGTAACAAAATCCATGTAACAAAAATACATAAAAAGCAACAAGTCAAGTTTGGATTTGAATCAGTAACTACATTTTAAATCCAGTGAAAGCAAGAAAGTTAAATAAACTGGGCAATAATTTGGCTATTTAGTGATATTTCCACAGTTGTGGTCTTGACTGGTCTTGAAATGAAATTCCGAGTCCTCAAAGTCCGAGACCGAGACAAGACCGTGTACAAATGCTGTCGAGTCCGAGACAAGACCAAGACCATCAAAAAGTGGTCTTGAAACCGGTCTTAAGACTAAGACCGGTTTCAAGTACTACAACACTAGTGAGCATTATTTGCTCTTGGGGAAAAAAATGGGTGAAAAACACAGCAGGAATCATGAGGAGACGTGATGTCAGTCGGAAACTAAATTATATCTGTAAACTAACCATACAGGTTGAAACAGTGCAAGATGGTGCCATCAGTTTTATGTTTACAGTTCATCTTTTTAATGAGCTCTGAATAATCAGTTTTCTGTTCTGGTTCCCAGATGAAGCTATGCAGTATCAGGGTCCTGGCATGGAGCTAGCCTTTGATTATCTTGACCAAACGGATCCACTGCTGCTTCTGCAGCTCCAGCACAGATACACTGCTGTTTGCATGACAATCAAACACACACTCAGGTAAGACACACTTTACACACATTACTGCAAGAAAGGACTTCATCCTAACCTTCGGGCATAAAATACCATAAAACGCCTTAAAAAGTACACACAAATTAAAAGAAGTACTGCTTTTGAACCCTTTAAAGTAAATTCACAAGCTTGGGCTCTTTTTAAAGCGAATAACCTGAATTTTTAACTTCAGCAGTCATATTCTTTGTAACTGTAACTAGTATTTAGTATATTGAAGTAAAATACACAAAAATCAAGATATTTTTCTTCCTAGATTTTTATTTTTTAATTAATAAAGTGTCACAGAATATGAGGGGAACGAGATATTATCAAACAAATTTTACTGGGCTAAAATATTAATTCTCAACTGTTACCAGTTCAAATTTGGTAACAGTAGCATAAAATATGAATATTTGACACACAGTACAATCCAGCATGTCTCATTTGCATATTTGTACTCATTTACATATTCCAAACTGTACACTTGTGTAAAACGCTCTAATTTCAACACATTGACATCACTCAGGGCTCAAATTAAAGATATAACTCCCACAAAACACATTCTACCATCCATATTTACTCACAGCATGATTAAATTAAAAAATATATATTAATATTCGTAAATATTTACAGCAACACTGCACTTTCAGCCAAATTTCCACCAATATCCTGCCAAACCGCAAGAATAAACAATATATCCTTATATCTTTCAGAGCATTTAACATTCTACACAGCTTATAAATCCACCAGCAGCGAAAAAATATTTGTTTTTCACTTACATTTGATGCACATTTGTCCTCCAATATGTCCAAATTAGCGACTGAAAATGGCGACCGTAAGTCTTTTTATCCAAATAGTTATTTCTTCTGGCCACAAAAATAACTTTTCCATGTCTTGAAGCACTCGAAACACTTAATAACAAATATATTTTCATCTTATCAGCCTGTTTCGTCAGCTAACTGACCAGAAAACGGTGGAAAACAATGTTTTCCTGTGAGCCTTAGCTGCCTTCCTTAGCATAGTAACACTGCCTAAACATGGCAGCCTCCAATGTGTTTACATCTCCCATCACTAACAAAGTTCCCACCCCCTCTATTTATACATTAAATGAAAGGTACGGTGATTGGCTACACAGCTATAGGATCAGAACGAAGCTCTGAGCTGATTGGCCGATTTTACAGTCAATCAAAGCTAGAAAGACTGAAACCGGAAGTTTGTCACTATTGAGATATTATTGGCCCTAGACAGCCGAAACTTGAACCCAGTTTGTCAAATGAAGTGTCAATCGAAAGAGGAGGGCCTAGACGTCAAGTTTGATGCATTGCACACGGACACAGGCGGAACAAGAAACAGATATTATACTTGAAAATAAAACAAATACAAAACGGCACGCGGGCGTTCCGCTGAATGCTGAGCAACAATAATTACAGCTATAATACACCCCTGAACCAGAATATTCGGAGCCACTGGATGATTTTTTAATAAAACTTGCAGAAAGTAATAATTTCATGTACATTAATGTCTGACCTATCTTTTTGAACCGTGCTGCAAGTTGCTGCAAGTGACGGCATCAACATGTCCATCACAGCAAACTGACACAGTTGACAGCTGAGCTCAGTGTTTATCTGAGGTTTTATTGATGGTAGTTTTTTGTGTTTCATTGGCCATGCTAACCTATAATGCTCCTAAAACTTATAGCACACCTCGTTCATCTGAGCTGGTTGTTTTGATTTAAAGTTTGTAGGGGTGCAGGTTGCCTTCTGGCCTCATTAATGTACGACTAGAAGAAGATATGGACTAGAGAAACTGTGTTTCCTGTGAAATGTCAAGTGTGCATAGTTATTGCTGAAATATTTAGCTGAAAGCTGCTGTTTGAAAAGCTGAGAGAAGTATAAAAAGGTTTAGCTGAACAGAAGAATAGTTGAAAGGAACAAAAAGCAGACTTTCACAGACAGCTTTAACTGGATATACTACAAATACTAGAATGGGTTATAAGAAAGCCATTAGGTATCAAAGTATCAGGTTTACAATATTTTAAAAGAGTAAATGATTCAGCCTTTCTGTTGTTTTGTTTTTATTTATCAGAGCGGATCCTGCCTCAGCCGTCCATCTGCCAGTCAGACTGATTCTCAACCTGGTGTGTCGAGCACTCGCTGTCAACTCAAAGAGCATAGTGAGTGCACACACACACGAACAGATGTTCACTGTCATTCACTGGAACTGTATAAAAACATAAATGAATACTGAGATCTTCTTTTAGTAAAAAGAAGAAAAAAACATCTATAGTTTACTTTAAAATGCATCTATCTTCTATAATGTCTTCAAAGTGTAACTAACCCCCATGAAAGCTTTGGTTATTTCAACCTGGAGTTTAAAAAATTTCTAACTTTAGAGTTCAAATAAAATGCATCCTGAGTGGGTGAAGTTGGGTATGAGACTGGTGGTTATCTCAGGAGTGAAGATATAAACTGTCCAAAGTTGTAAAGGTACAAATTGGCAGAGGAACAACTTTATATTGTGTTTGTTTTTGTTTAAACTAACAAACATTGGGCCTCATGCAAGAACCGTTCGTACGCACAGATTTGTTCTTAAATTGTGCGTACGAGTGATTTAGGAGAATTTGTGGCATTCACC